TCCAGTGAAATATATTTATGTTTGTGGTTTGTAATGTGACAAAATATGGAAAAGTTCAAGGGGTATGAATACTTTTGCAAACCACTGTATATATGAATGATATGAAAAGATATATAAAATGTATATAAACTGAAACAACTGGACTAGTGCATCCTAAATTTAACATTAATTAATTATTTTAATACAACAGTCATTTATGTATTTTTTGGGGAGGTCACCTCCTAATAAATGTCCTTACAGAAAATCTAACTGCTCATTTTAAATCAATACTTTTAAATACTTAAGTACAAAAAACATCAGATTCTTTAAGACTTATACTCAAGTAATATTCCTAAAGGAGACTACATACCTACATACACACACACTCACATACCCCCCCCCCTCCCACACACACATATATACATCCAGTGATTGTCAAAAGCCCCAGGATCCAAATGTCTATTTTTTGTGCGGTTGTGAACATGCATATAAACACTAGATTTCTCTAGTGGAATATTAAATAGTGACTGAGGAGGACCACAGACCCGACCCCCAAGACCCAAAGCAAACATAGGGGGACCAGAGCCAAAGACCCCAAGAGAGACCCCAAGCACTGAGCCCCCAAGGCCACCTGCGCACCGAGAACCACTTACCCACCCCCAGAGAGGAACACAGGAGAGAACCAGGAGAGCCCCACCAGAAACCACACGCAGAACCCACAGGGCCAACAGCTATGACCACAGGCCCCGCCGGCCCCCGCCACACTGGAGCAGAACCAGACACGGACACCGAGACCCAGATCCATTGGGTGCACCCCCTCCCCAGGCCAAGGCCCGACAGGGCCAGAGGACCCAAGCCCCAACAGGCAGCCACCAGGTCGAGCCGGCACATGCCCAAGCACCCAGCCCCAGACATTGAGAGCCACCAGCGCACCGGCGGGCAAAGGCACACCCCACCAGAGGGCAGCACAGCCAGGGGCAGAGCCCATCACTAGCAGAGAGCTCTCGGGTGAACCAGACGAGGGGGCAGCCCGAGTCCCAGCCTGATAAATACTCAATCATACACAAACACAATCACACAGTCCCACCCTCATTCTCACACCCACTCATTCAAAGACAGACAAGAACGCTACACCCCACTCACACTCCCGATACACACTCCATACCCCCAGGTCCAGGACATGTACCCACCCCCTACAGAGGGCAGGTCATATCTGAACCCAGGAGGTAAAACCATTCATTCTGGGGTGTGGAAGAGCAGACAGCCAAGGCCCAGCCCGGGCTGCACCAGGCCAGACGGTCAGCCCCCCACCACAGCAAAGCAACACCCCCAACTACCCCCACACACCACCAACGGCCAAGCGTACACCCCCAGCTGACCACCAGCCAGACCCCGGTAGCCACCCCAGCCAGCGGGCTAACCATGGCAACAAGGGGCCACCACCCAAGAGCCTGAACAACCCCAGGGAAGACAGACCACCAGCAACAGCCCCCGGCACCCCTCCAGGACCCAAGACCCCACCAGACAGTCTGCCCCTAACTGAACCTCCCCCCCCCACCCCCCCAAATGGCCATCACAGAGCGGGGTAGGTCAAGAGAAAAAAAGGAAGACCCCGACACACACACACACACACACACACCCAGATGCGCTGTTGATGCATGTTCTAAAGTGCAAATAAAATAGGTAAGAAGAGGGGCAGAGGCCAGCATTGTGCCAGTTTTCCCTCCACCCCAACTCTTCAACCTAAATAGACCCTAAGTGTCTACAAGCAACCCTTGGGGTGGACACAGGCGCCAGTGACGAGAGTGATTCTCTCTCGCCCCTTGTCTGCCACAGAGTGCCCACCTTGCTTGGTGACCTTAAGAATGCTGGAACAATTTTTTCATTTAGTAAAATGCTTAAAAGTTTTTTAATGAGAAATGAACAAAGATTTG